CCCTCACTCTTAGTTCTCCCATCTGAGTGCTCATCCAGCCTTTTCTGTCTGGTTTATGTCGTCGGCTGTCACTTTCTTTCTGCAGGACGGCCATGAGTTACCCCCACCGATTGCCTTTGACATTGAAGCCCCCACAGTGTTACCTCCCTGCAAGGTGAGTGGAGGGGGCCGCGGTTGGGGGCACAGAGTTAGCGCTCACGTTGGGGGTAGAGTCCTGGTTACGTGGTCCTAATATCTGTTTGATTCCAGGGAAGCTACTTTGGAACAGAGACCCTGAAGAATCTGGTCCTGCACTTCTTGCAGCAGTGAGTATCTCAGGTCGCCTCAGGCTGGCGAGCGGTGGGCTAGCCCCAGCACAGCTCGCTCTTGGGAGCTGTCGGTCCCTGTGCGGCCCCAGATTGTGGAGTTCAGGCTTTCCCTTTTGTTTTCCTCGTAGGTACTATGCGATATATGACTCCGGAGACCGGCAGCAGCTCCTGGATGCCTACCACGATGGGGCCTGCTGCTCCCTGAGCATTCCTTTCACCCCCCAGAACCCTGCCCGGTGAGTGTCATATCCCAGAACCTGCCCAGGCCAGCACATGCGCATCCACACCGTTCTGACCACTGCCTCCTTTTTCTCCTGCCCCCCAGAAGCAACTTAGCTGAGTACTTCAAAGATAGTAGGAATGTGAAGAAGCTTAAAGACCCTAGTAAGTGTGTGATGTGAGCAGAACAGGTTGGGAGAAGGGGATGGGAAGGGGCTGAGTGTGGGCTGAGGATGGCAGCTGCTCACCTTGGCTTCCCCTCCTCTCACAGCCCTGCGGTTCCGGCTGCTGAAGCACACACGTCTCAACGTTGTGGCCTTCCTCAATGAGTTGCCCAAAACTCAGCATGACATCAGTTCCTTCGTGGTAGACATAAGCGCCCAGACAGTGAGCACCTATGTCTTCCTTGGCAGAAGGGTGGAATTGGGGAAGGGGCGGTTAAGAGGCAGGAAGGACTCAGGCTCTGGCTGGGAGCCTACGTGGTACCTGATGCTGCTGCTTCTCTTTCAGAGCACGTTGCTGTGTTTTTCTGTCAATGGAGTCTTCAAAGAAGGTGAGGGTCTTCGGAGTGCCGAGTTTGCAGAGTGGTCCCTTTCCCAGCTAGTCGTTCTCAGCACTCTTAGCGTCCCAGCTACCTTCTCTTCTCTCTTCTTCCCTGACCTCCTTCTCTCATTCTGCCCCCCAAGCCTACCCTCTCCACCTGTCTTTTCCTGTCTGGGATATGGGAAAAGCCTGAGGATTAGAAGGACACAGACTTTGGAGTCAGGCAGGTCTGAGCTTCCATCCCAGCTTTGGTCCTCTGTGTCTGTGGGCAATTTACATTAGCTCTGAGCCTGAGTCTTTATTTGTGAAAGGAAGGGGGTTAGTAATAGCCATCTCACAGTGTTGTGGTGAGTAAGTGAAGTGATGTACAAGATGCTTGACACTGGGCCTGGCACACACACACTCCACTAGTGGGATAACAGTGTTGTTATTACTGTCCTCCCTGACCTCTGATACTCCTCCCCACTGCGCTCCCCTGTGCACACATAATCATCCCTGTCTGGCCCACTTAGGGTTCTTTGTATCAAATAAGACCATGATTTTTGAGTCACTCAGAGTCACATGAGTGACTCTGACAGGTTGTCACCATTGTTATCATTGCAGTGGATGGAAAATCTCGGGACTCTTTGCGAGCCTTTACCCGGACGTTCGTTGCTGTTCCTGCCAGCAATTCAGGGTGAGTGTTGGACTTACCGTGTGGGGTCCCAGTCCCAATCCATGGCCACCACTGTGAAGATTGGGGAGGGTGGAGTCGGTCCTCTGGGTATCTTCAGACATTCAGAAAGGCAGGGGGTGATCAGAGGGGGGTCACATAGTGGTGATGAGCTTGGCTCTGGAGTCTGGGGTTTTCATCCTGGCTCCACCACTTCTAGCTTAGGGCAAGTTTCCTCATTTGAAAAGTGGTTTAACAATATTCACTTCCTAAGTCTGTTGTGAAGATAAATGAGGGTTGGGGGAGAATGTATAATTCTAGTGTGTTTGGTAGATAATCCCATACATGGAGTCCATGGGAAAGGGAGGAAATGATAAAGGGACCTCGTGGGTATTGAAAGGATCTGAGTGTCAAGTGAGAATAGGAACGATATTGGGAGGATGAGGTTATCTGTCTGTCTGTCCAGCTGTCTCAGGTGCTTTTTGTCCCCAAGGTTGTGCATCGTAAATGATGAGCTGTTTGTGCGGAATGCCAGTCCTGATGAGATCCAAAGAGCCTTTGCCATGCCTGCACCCACACCTTCTTCCAGCCCAGTGCCCACCCTCTCTCCAGAGCAGCAGGAAATGCTGCAGGCATTCGCTACTCAGTCTGGCATGAACCTTGAGTGGTCCCAGAAGTGAGTACTGGGCATGTGTAGGAATAAGGGTGCACTGGGGTAGGGCTGGTGGTGAATAATGAGTGCCCCTAAAATTTTTAAAGCCAGAACTTTTGTTATTACTTAAAAAAAAAAAAAAGATGGTCCATAAAAAAATTTTCTCTATGCATACATTAGCATAACATTTAAAGTCAAAATGAAGTCCCTCTTTTATACTGTTCTGCAACATACTTTACTTATCCCATGAACATCATTCCCTATTAGTATAAAACTCACCTTAGTCTCATTTCTGTTAGCTATTTAATAGAAATAGATAGCTATTTAATACTTCTTTGTATTCGAAAGACCATTGATAGATGGATTTTTTTCTAATTTTTCATTTGTATAAAGAGTGCAAGAATGTATGTAATTGCTGGTGAGTGTTTCCGTAGAATGGATGTTGAAGTGGCATTTAGTGATCAGAGTGACTGCGTCTTGGTTCTGATGGAGGTGCCTGTGCTTGCCCTGCTCCAGGTGCCTTCAGGACAACAACTGGGACTACACCAGATCTGCCCAGGTCTTTACTCATCTCAAGGTAAGATTTGGGAATAGGTGGCTAAAAGAGATTTCCAGGCCTTCAAGAGGGTCACGTAGGCTTGGCACACGGGCATGGGCCACCTGGCTCTACTGACCTTCTGTTTTTTCTCTAAGGCCAAGGGCGAGATCCCAGAAGTGGCGTTCATAAAGTAATCCACAGTCATGCCCCAGAAGATCCCTGTAAATAGCCCTTGTATGTACTGATGTCTCCTCTCTGGCCTCTGTGACTGTGACTGCTGGATCCCTCTCCTTACCTGCCTTCTTGAAGACTTCGGGAAGATCGAGCCTCCCTGGTGCCAGGAAGCCAAAGCTTACTTTGTAGAACTGACACTAAACTACCCGAAGGACTTAGGTGCTTTGTGTACTTAACCCCAGGATCCTCCCTACTTTTTAAGATAAAGAGTGCTATTGTATTTTGTGTCGAGTGTGCTGGGTTATTTTAGCCTTGCCCTTCGCAAGCGCGGGCGGGGCCGAGTCGCCTCGCCTCGCCTCGCCTCGCCTCGCCCCGCCTGGGGCTGACAGATGGACTCCGAGGGGGCGGGGCGGGGCCAGCGGCAGGAAGTCCCGCCCCGGAAGCGGCGCCGCTCAGGGCCATGGCGGCTCTCGGGCGGCGGTGGCCTGTGCGGCTGTTCTTAACGCTGCAGTCCCTTACCGCGCGCAGGGCTCTGTGTGACGTGGCCCCGCCACGGGACGTGCTGCTCTTCGAGCACGAAGGGGGTCGCTTCTTTGCCGTCCTCGGCCTGTTCTGCGCTGGCCAGGGCGTCTTCTGGGCTTCCCTAGCCATTGCCGCCTTGGCCCGCCCGCCGGCCTCCACTCGGCCTCCAGACGCCGAGTCCCCAGGCCGCGGCCGCCTGGACCTGCGCTCCGCGCTCTGGCGCTACGGCCTTGCCGTCGGCTGCGGCGCCATCGGTAAGGTGTGGTTTGCCTTCCCGGCATGGGTCGAGGAGGGCGGGCACAATCCTTTCCGCTTGGGCAAGAAGAGTAAGGGGCTCCCGACCCTCCAGGATGGGCAGGCCACCCTTATAGGTGTGTGGTACACTGGAGTCGGACGTTCCCGAGCGCCACGCCCTCGTACAGGTTCAGGCTGAAGTCTGCCTCTCACTCTGTGACCTTAAGCGAGTTAGTACTTCCGCTCTGGACCCTGTTTTAAAATGGGTATGAGTATCTATTAAGGCTTTTGGGAGGAATGACTAATACATGATGGGGGTATAAGAGGAGCTCAGTAAATGTTACCATCATCACAATTTTTTTTTATTATTATTCGGGGGCACACTGTAAGGGTTGCTTCTTAGCTCTCCAGGGAAAACCCCAATCTTTGCTCTTCCTGCAGGTACTCTGGTACTTGGTGCTGGTCTTCTCTTTTCCTTCCGCTCTGTGCGCTCAGTGATGCTACAGGCTGGAGGGAAGCAAGTGACCCTCACCACTCATGCCCCCTTTGGCTGGGGTGCCCATTTTACAGTTCCCTTGAACCAAGTATCCTGCATGGCCCACCGGGGTGAAGTCCCTGCCATGTTGCCTCTGAAGGTCAAAGGCCGACGATTCTACTTCCTCTTGGACAAAGCTGGACACTTCCCCAACACGAAACTCTTTGACAACACGGTGGGTGCCTACCGTAGCTTGTGAAGAAACCACCTCAGGTCACTCACCCCTCCCAGAGGGGAATCAAAACTGAACCTTAGGGATGGGGTGACAACCAGGGTCACACAAGAGGCCCAAATTCATTAACAGCAAATAAAGGAGCAGTCATCCCAAGGGCAGCTACCTGTCAGTACCTCAAAGTTTTGATCCATGCCTGTGTCGCCTTCACTCCTTACTCCCATCCACCCTACCTACAGTGCTTTACACCAAGAACTCAGTACTGAGATGAAGAAAGAAAGTAATATAATACTTTGGTACAAAAACAGCTGTAGGAAGAGGGGGTCTGTTAATCATGTTTCCCTCCTGGAGGGAAAACTCAGGCTCCCAGCCGTGTGGGCCACGTGGGGGCAAGAGGACTGCAGGCACTTGGGCACGGAGTCTGGCGGCAGGAGTACTCTTCGGTTAGTCTTCAGGAATGGGAAAGGCGTGGCCCAACAAGAGCATCTGTCTCAGAGCTCCACACAGGGTCCCCCCTCTCCAGAGGCCGGTATGGGGTGGCTTCAGACTTCCACTGCACGACCTGCAGCACCAAGACCACGCACCACAATACCAGATTCACCCAAGAAGAGGTCTGTGGGAGACAGGAACAGGAGTGTGAGGAGTGGGCCCATCTCGAATCCAGTTCCACCCACACACCACTCTTAGCTGTGCACTGTCAGGCCGTCAAGCCTTCAGCTCCTCTCAGCCCCTCACTGGTGGGCCAAGCTCAGAGTACACTGGTGAGCACTCTTACAACTACAGATTGTGCTATATGATTCATTATGTGAATCTGTGTATCCCTCAATCTCCACCCAGTCTTTCATATCCCAGGACCTCACTTCAGCATTGTGTAGGTTGGAGTAAAACTGCAGAGCGGTTACAGAGGGTATCCATGGTGC